AATCACTCTTGGTCTCTGTTTCGCTTGATTTCACATACAATCTCTAACAGAACAGCTGTACACATGATATACGTCACAGGTGAGAAAATTAAGGAGTTATTTTACTAATTAAGCTACCAAATGTAACATAAATCAAATTACAATAAAGGGGAAGTAAGTATAAAGACATTTTGTTCGTGTCGTTGAAGATTTCGGAAATAATTTCTGTGAAGTGTTGGCTCTGTTCAAACAAACTACTTAGTACACTGTTTCTTCAACAAGTTCTAAATATACATTTCTATTACCTCCATACTTAAGTCATATTGAGCACTTCTATGTACTTTTGTTCCCAGTGTAGCTACAGAGAGGGTTTGAGCTGAAAATGACATCTATATCTACATTTAAAGGAGCTGAGTGACTGCTGCCTTAACGTCAAAATGAAACTGAAAGAAACGATATAAAATTATTGACAGATTTGGGTTGCTCTTTCCACCTGCAGGATTATTCCCATTAAAATGATGATTACTTCATCTACAAATATGTTCTGATATTTCACAGATGTTATACTCAGTGGGGAAAACAAGTCTTCAATAGCCATACATGTACATTGATGCAACAACTGAACAGTAAGACTTCAGTTAAACTACATTGTATATACTACCTCAAAATACATCGCTATAAATCCCACTCCTAACAGAAAACCAGTTTTACATATACTGTATTTGTGCGACGATAAGCCCATGTCTGGTAATAAGCCCATCCATATCTAATACAGTTCAGTAAAAATGCCAACAAATACTGTTACATTGTCCTTTAATAAGCCCAGCCCCCTCCTATGAGTCACAGATAACGTGTTGGCCCTCTGTGCTTATTACAGGATAAATTAATACAGTTTAACACTGATAAAACTTTGCTTTAATACTGCTCAAAACGTATCTAAATACTATTGAAAACCTGCCTTAATACTACTGAAACCCTACTTTAATACTACTGGAAACATACTTCAACACCATTGAAAACATGCCTTAATATTACAGAAACCTGCTTTAGTACTACTGAAAACATGCTTTAGTACTACTGAAAACATGCCTTAAAACTATACTGAAAACCTGCCTTAACATTACAGAAACCTGCTTCAGTACTACTGAAAACATGCCTTAACATTACAGAAACATGCTTTAGTATTACTGAAAACATGCTTTAATACTACTAAAAACCTGCCTTAACATTACAGAAACCTGCTTTAGTACTACTGAAAACATGCCTTAACATTACAGAAACATGCTTTAGTATTACTGAAAACATGCTTTAATACTACTGAAAACCTGCCTTAACACTATACTGAAAACATGCCTTAAAACTATATACTCAAAACCTGCCTTAACACTACTGAACCTGCGTTAGTACTATGTCTTCACAATGCCAACTAGAACTTATCCCGAGGCTAGAAGCAATAACCCTCAATGACAGTTATAAACCATAATGCCGCCCACATTGTTTTATTCTCTTATATAAAGTCGTGTTGGAAGTGGGTTACAGTTGGAGTGTCATATTGATAATTATTGAAGTTGATTACGACTTCATGGCATTGAATGACATTTAAATCTGATATGAAATAAGACATGTGCATCCACATGTACGGTAATTACATCAAAGTCAATAATTATTTTATAATATGGGTTAAAACAACAAAGTACTTACACAAGCCATGATGTTCAAATGGCAGGTACTACGTAAGATGTCTGAAATGTTTCATTGATATCCGTAATATTGTGTGAGATTTGTAGCCTGCACAAGGCTTTGTTATGCTATCAAGTTAATCTACAGCCAATCTGTAAATATCAAAGAAAACAACATGGTGGTCATACATGCAAAGGTTTATGATGAGATGGGGAAGTGTGAGTGCAAACTTTCATCAAAATCAGTGTAATACTTTAGCAGTCAGACACAGCTATACCTACATGAGGTTACTGACAGATCTATATACTGATAGACAGACACAGCTATACCTACATGAGGTTACTGACAGATCTATACACTGATAGACAGACAAAGCTATACCTACATGAGGTTACTGACAGATCTATACACTGATAGACAGACAAAGCCACACCTACATGAGGTTACTGACAGATCTATATACTGATAGACAGACACAGCTATACCTACATGAGGTTACTGACAGATCTATA